TATATTGAACCAGCCTTGCATCCTTGGGATGAAGCTTACTTGATCGTGATGAATAAGCTTTTTGATTCACTCTTGCATTTGGTTTGCTAGTATTTTATTGAAGATGTTTGCTTCGATGTTAATCATGGATATTGGCCTGAAGTTTTCTTTTTTAGTTGAGTCTCTGCCAGGTTTTGGTATTAGGATGATGTTGGTCTCATAAAAAGAGTTAGGGAGGATTCCCTCTTTTTGTATTATTTGCAACAGTTTCAGAAGGAATGGTACCAGCTCCTCTTTGTACATCTGGTAGAATTCGGCTGTAAACCCATCTGGACCTGGACTTTTTTTTTTGTTGGTAGGCTATTAATTGCTGCCTCAACTTTGGCCCTTGTTATTGGTCTACTCAGGATTTCAACTTCTTCCTGGTTTAGTCTTGAGAGAGTGCAAGTGTCCAGGAATTTATCCATTTCTTCCAGATTTACTGGTTTGTGTGCATAGAGTTGTTTGTAGTAACCTCTGATGGTAGTTCACATTTCTGTGGAATTTGTGGTGATGTCCCCTTTATTGTTTTTTATTGCATCTACTTGATTCTTCTCTCTTTTCTTTTTTATTAATCTGGCTAGTGGTCTATCTATTTTGTTGATATTTTCAAAAAACCAGCTCCTGGATTTGTTGATTTTTTGAAGGGTATTTTGTGTCTCTATTTCCTTCAGTTCTGCTCTGATCTTAGTTATTTCTTGTCTGCCAGCTTTTGAGTTTTTTTGATCTTGCTCCTCTAACTCTTTCAATTTTGATGATAGGCTGTCAATTTTGATCTTTCCTTGCACCTCATGTGGGCATTTGTTGCTATGAATTACCCTCTAGACACTGCTTTAACTGTGTCCCAGAGATTCTTGTATGTTGTGTCTTTGTTCTCATTGGTTTTGAAGAACATCTTTATTTCTGCCTTCATTTCATTGATAATCCAGTTGACATTCAGGAGCCAGTTGTTCAGTTTACATGAAGTTTTTGAACTTTCCATGAAGTTTTAGAAGTTTTGAGTTAGTTTCTAATCCTGAGTTCTAATTTGATTGCACTGTGGTCTGATAGACTGTTAAGATTTCCATTCTTTTGCATTTGCTAAGGAGTGATATACTTCCAATTATGTGGTAGATTTTAGGGTAAGTGCGATGTGGTGCTGAGAAGAATGTATGTTCTGTGGATTTGGGGTGGAGAGTTCTGTGGGTTCGCTTGGTCCAGATCTGCATTCAAGTCCTGGATTTCATTGTTGATTTTTTTGTCTTGTTGATCGGTCTAATACTGACATCAGAGTGTTAAAGTCCCCCACTATTATTGTGCAGGGGTCTAAGTCTCTTTGTAGGTCATTAAGGACTTGCTTTATGTATCTGGGTGCTCCTGTATTGGGTGAATACATATTTAGGATAGTTAGCTCTTCTTGTTGTATTGATCCTTTTACCATTATGTAATGCCCTTCTTTGTCTCTTTTGATTTTTGTTAGTAAGACTAGGATTGCCACCCCTGTTTTTTTTTTTTTTTTCTCTCCATTTGCTTGGTAAATCTTATTCCATCCCTCTATTTTGAGTGTATGTGTGTCTTCGTATGTGAGATGGGTTTCCTGAATACAGCACGCTGATGGGTTCTGACTTTTTATTCAGTTTGCCAGTCTGTGTCTTTTGATTGGGGCATTTAGTCTGTTTACATTTAAGGTTATACTGTTATGTGTGAATTTGATCCTGCAATTTTGTTACTGGTTAGTTGTTTTGCCCTTTGGTTGGCATAATTTTTTATTGTGTTGTTGGTCTTTACCATTTGGTTCTTTTTTGCAGTGGCTGGTACTAGTTGTTCCTTTCTGTGTTTAGTGCTTCCTGCAGGAGCTCTTGTAGGGCAGGTCTGGTAATGACAGCAATTGCTTATCTGTAAAGGATTTTATTTCTCCTTCACTTATGAAGCTTAGTTTGGCTGGATATGAAATTCTGCGTTGAAAGTTCTTTTCTTTGAGGATGTTGAATATTGGCCCCTACTCTCTTCTAGCATGTAGGGTTTCTGGTGAGAGATCTACTGTGAGTCTGATAGGCTTCCCTTTGTGGGTGACCAGACCTTACTCTCTGGCTGCCCTTAGCATGTTTTCCTTCATTTCCACCCAGGGTGGATTCCACCCTGACGATTATGTGCCTTGGGGTTGCTCTTCTAGAGGAGTATTGTGTTGTTCTCTGTATTTCCTGTATTTGAATATTGTCCTGCCTTGCTAGGTTGGTGAGGTTCTCCTGGATAATATCCTGAAGAGTGTTTTCCAGCTTGGATTCGTTATCCTTGTCACATTCAGGTACACTGATCAAGCGTAGATTAGGTCTTTTCACATAATCCCATATTTCTTAGAGGCTTTGTTCATTTCTTTTTACTCTTTTATCTGTTTTTTTGCCTTCTTGTTTTATTTCATTGAGTTCATCTTCAATCTCTGATATCCTTTCTTCTGTTTCATCAATCTGGCTATTAAAACTTGTGTATGCTTCACGAAGTTCTTGTGCTGTGTTTTTCAACTCCATCGAGTCATTTATGTTCTCTAAGCTGGTTATTCTAGTTAGCATTTCATCTAACCTTTTTTTCAAGGTTTTAAGTTTCTTCAAGGTTAGAAAATGTTCCTTTGGCTCAGAGAAGTTTGTTATTATCCACCTTCTGAAGCCTGCTTCTGTCATTTTGTGAAATTTGTTCTCCATCCTGCTTTGTTCCCTTGCTGGTGAGGAGTTGTGATCTCATGGTGGGGGCAGGGGAAGCATTCTGGTTTTGTATGGGTTCATCCTTTTTGTGCTGGTTTCTTCCCATCTTGTTGGATTTATCTAGTTTTGATCTCAGGTAGCTGCTTGGGGAGGCGGTCTTTCCTTTGTCTGCCTGCAGAGGTGCTGCTGGGCAGCCAGGGATTCAGTGGAACTGCTGTGTATTTTCCCTGTGTCTTTTATTTACTCAAGAAAATTAGTCTGCAATGGTGGTTGCCCTTTCCCCTGCCAAGCTCAGTTGTTCCTGGTCACTCTCTACCTGATGATCTGGCTGTGAAACTCTGAAGTAAGAGTTTTTTAGCCTGCTAGGCTGTGTGGGGGAGAGACCCATCCTGCTGTATGGCCTATTTCCCTACTTTCAGTTTCCCTTCTTTCTGGGGTTGAGTAGCTCCGTCCCACTGGCTTTCTGGCTTTCTTGTCATCAGCCAGTGCTTCTGCCTAGATCTGTGCAGACAGCCCCGGCACCGGCCAAAGTTGCTGTTCTGCCCTGTTCAGGCAGCTCGCAGAGGCTTTTCAGCCCAGTGAAGATCTCCTGTTCTGTGGGTTGTAGAGAGCTTGGGTGGAGTGCTGTATCTGAACCAAAGTTCCAGAGGGGAGATCCCCTAGTCCTCCAGTCAGTTCACGCACCACCTGGGTGGGGCAGTGCCCTGCCTTGCCTCAACTTGCCCTATTTGGTTTATACCCACTGTCCAACCAGACCCACAAAATGAACCTGGTACCTTGTTTGGAATTGTGGAGACCACTCGACTTCTGCATCTCTCTTGCTGGGAGTTGCATTTTGGAGCTGCCTCTTATTCAGCCATCTTGGGACCCCCCAGGGGTTGGTTTTATTATTGTTTTTGTTATTTTGCTTTGTTAACTTAGTGATCAGCTAGTGATTAGACATAGATTTACTTAATTCTCTAGAACCAGTAAGTTTCCTAGACTTTGGTGAAAGATTGTGTGTGTGTGTGCATGTTTGTATGTGTTTGTGTTGGGGTAAGGCTTTAAAGCTCTGGGAGTGTTTGGAACTCTGCCTTAGCTATCACTTTCTGCTTTTATCATAAAAGCAGAAGATGGGTTGTGAGGGATGGGACTGGACAAGTTACAATATCACAGAGCTCACTGTTCTTACCATTATTCAGCCATTTAACTTGAATGGTTGAATTGGATTTCCTTCAGGTCAGCGGGAGGTTGGAGGTTAGGGCATTTGCAGGTCTTTTCTTGGCATATACACATCCCTGCATATGCATGTGACCTTTTATGTTTCCAGATATTGTCATAATTTCAAAATATTCTATGGACATCTTACTGCTCAGTTTTTTTTTAATGTGATCTTTTGTTTGCCACAACTGTTATCTCTGCCCCAGGCAGCTGTGATGTTAAATGCTATTGATAGTTCTGACAACCCAGAAAGAAAAGCTGTTTACAGTGTCTGTGCTCTGAGTGAAATTAAATTAAAAAGTCTTGCCAGTGGGGATTTCTGGGGAGCTGCCAGACAAGTTAACAACAATTCTCTGAGAATGGGGCTTCTTGGGGGCACTTAAGTCCCATTTTGCCCTTTCCTATGGTTGTTAGGCTGGTTTTCCTCCACAGGTACTATGGTTGCAAGGTTGATACTTTTAAAGGCTACTGAGGAGATAGGGTGAGATGGATGGGAATAGGGCAAGCTGCAATACCATGGAGCTTACCGTTCTTACCATGATTTGGCTATTTAATTTGAATAAATGCTTCCTGGAATGTTGTAGGTCTTTGACTAATTTCCAAAGTTCTGAGAAAGTTGATTTTGACAACTTTTTCAGTATTCTCATTGCTTTTATTGAGGAATGGGTTTTTGGAGTTTCTTACTGTTCTATTCTAGAAGTACTCTTTTCAGTGTCCTCTAAAATGTTTATTTTCTGAAGGCATTTGATATTCCAAATGTTGGAAACCAGTATTTCAAAACTAAATTTGAATTTCTGGGTTTATAACAGTCAGTATCCCCATATTACCAGTATGATCTCTGAAACCTTTTTGGTCTATATATTTCCTTTATTAATCTCCCGGGAGATGTAAGTCTAAAAGAATTCTACATAGTTTTGCATAGCAAGTTGTTTGACTTCAATTCCACACAATATCAGGGAGAAGATATTTCAGAATGTTTCCAAATGCTCTTGACCTTACTTTTGAAGCAACACTCCTGTTTTCCAAGTCTTACTTCGAACTCTCAAGAGAGCTCTTAATATAAACTGCCTTTGTCTTGATTTAACTGCCAGAAACAAAGTTACTCACTGTCTTCAGTGTATTTTTCATGACGAAATGCTTCTGTAACCCAACGGATGATTATGATTACAATGGTCATCTCTAAGATGGTGCAGAGTAGTAAATATTGTAAAAGTATCATACCAGCCATCTGAATAAAGAAAAATCTTCATATTAACCACTTAAAATTATACAAGATCAACATTTAGAAAATAGGGAGTGAATATTCATCCTAGCACTCTCATACAATTATGAGTATTTTTGGGTATTTTCATAACAACGAAGTATGTTTTAAATTTTTGGAGTACTTACATACCATCCTCCTGTATTAATTTCCTAGGGCAATATAATAGAGTACCACAAACTGGGTGGCTTAACACAACAGAATTTTATTGTCTTATGGGTCTGGATGCCAAAAGTTCAAAATAAATTTATTGGCAGGATCATGCTCTTTCTGAGGCTTATAGGAGAGAATCCTCCCTTATCTCTTCAAGGTTCTGGTAGCTCCAGGTGTTCCTTGACTTGTAATAGTATAACTCTTATCTCTGCCTCTATGTTCAGATGGTGATATGGTTCATCTCTGTGTCCCCACCCAAATCTCATTTTGAACTGTAGTCCCCATGTGTTGAGGGAGGGACCTGATGGGAGGTGATTAGATCATAGGGGTGGTTCCCCCATGCTGTTCTCATAAGAGTGAGTAAGTTATGAGATCTGATGGTTGAAAAGTCTGTGGCAATTCTCCCTTTACTCTCTCTCCTGCCTCCTGTAGAAGAAGGTACTTGCTTCACCTTTGCCTTCCACTATGTTTGTATGTTTTATGAGGCTTACCCAGCCATGTGGCACTGTGACCCAATTAACCCTGTTTACTTTTAAATTACCCAGTCTCAGGCAGCTCTTTATAGCAGTGTGAAAATGAACTAATGCAGGAAATTGGCACCAGGAGTGGGCTACTGCCATAAAGATAAGCTGAAAATGTGGAAGCAACTTTGGAACTGGGTAATAGGCAGAGGTTGGAACAGTTTTGAGGGCTCAGAAGAAGACAGGAAGATGTGGGGAAGTTTGGAACTTCCTAGAGACTTGTTGAATGATTTTGACTGAAATGCTGATAGTAATGTGGACAATGAAGTCCAGGCTGAGGTGGTCTCATATGGAGATGAGGAACTTACTGGGAACTGGAGCAAAGGTCAGTCTTCTCATGTTTCAGCAAAGAGACTGGTGGCATTTTGCTCCTGTCCTAGAGACCTGTGGAACTTTGAGCTTAAGAGAGATGTTTTAGGGTATCTGGTGGAAAAATTTCTAAGCACCAAAGCGTTTAAGAGATAGCCTGGTTTTTTTCTAAAAGCATATTCCCATATGTGTGAAGAAAGATGATCTGAAACTGGAAGTTGTGTTTAAAAGGGAAGCAGAGTATAAAAGTTTGGAAGATTTGCAGCCTGATCATGTGGTAGAAAAGGAAAACTCTTTCTGGAGAGAATTGTAAGCCAGCTGCAGAAATTTGTAAGGAACCAAATATTAATAGCCAAGACAATGGGGAAAATGTCTTCAGGGAATGTCAGACATCTTCACTGCAGGCCTTCCCATCACAGGCCTGGAGGCCTAGGAGGAAAAAATGGTTTTGTGGGCCAGGCCCAGGGACCCTGCTGCTGCTCTGTGCAGTCTCAGGGCTTGGTGCCTCCCAGCCATACCAGCTCCAGCTGCGGCTAAAATGGGCCAATGTATGGCTTGAGCTGTTGCTCCAGAGGAAGCAAGCCCCAAGCCTTGGTGGCTTTCAGGTGGTATTGGGCCTGTGGGTGTGCAGAGGTCAGGAGTTGAGGCTTGCTGGCCTCCACCTAGATTTCAGAGGATGTATGAAAATGCCTGGATGTCCAGGAAGAAGTCTGTGGCAGGGGTGGATTCCTCATGGAGAACCTCTACTAGAGTACTGCAGAGTGGAAATGTGGGCTTGAGGCCTCCACAGAGTCCCCACTGGGGCATTGCCCACTAGACCTGTGAGAAGAGGGCCACCCTTTTCCAGACCCCAGAATGGTAAGTCCACTGACAGCCTGCACAGTGCCCCTGGAAAAGCTGTAGGCACTCAACATTAGTCCATGAAAGCAGCTGCAGGGGCTTTACCTTGCAGAGTCACAGGGGTGGAGCTACCCAAGGCCTTGGGAGCCCACCTCTTCCATCAGTGTGTCCTGGATGTAAGACATGGGGAGATCATTTTAAGCTTTAGGATTTAGTAACTGCCCTGCTGGGTTTCAGACTTATATGGGACCCGTGGCCCCTTTGGTTTGGCCAATTTGTTCCATTTGAAATGGGAACATTTACCCAATGCCCATACCTCTCATTGTACCTTGGAAGTAATTAACTTGTTTTTGATTTTACAGGCTCAGTGAAAGGAACCTGCCTTGTCTCAGATGAGACTTTGGACTTGAACTTTTGAGTTAATGCTGGAATGAGTTAAGGCTTTGGGGGACTGTTGGGAAGGCATGATTGTGTTTTGAAATGTGAGAAGGAGATGAGATTTGAGAAGGGCCAGGGATGGAATCATATGGCTTGGCTCTATGTCCCCACCCAAATCTTGTCTTGAATTATAATCCCCACATGTTGAGGGAGTGATCTGGTGGGAGGTGATTGGATCATGGGGGTGGCTCCCCCATGATGTTTCATGATGGTGAGTGAGTTCTTATGAGATATGATGGTTTAAAAGTCTGTAGTTGTTCTCTCTTTGCTCTCTCTCTCTCTCCTGCCTCCTTGTGAAGAAGGTACTTGCTTCTCCTTTGCCTCCTGCCATAGGCCTCCCCAGCCATGCAAAACTGTGAGTCAATTAAAGCTCTTTTCTTTATAAATTACTCAGTCTCAGGCAGTTCTTTATAGCAATGTGAAAATGTGCTAATACATTGTGCTATCTTCCTTATGTACCTATGTCCAAATTTCTTCTTATAAGAACATCAATCATACTGGATTAATGGCCTACCTACTCCTGTATGACCTCACCTTAATTTAGCTGATTATACCTGGAATAATCCCATTCCCCAAAAATGTTACATTCTGAGGTACTATGGGTTAGGATTGTGACATATATGTTTTGGGGACATAATTCAACCATAACCGTCTGCCTCTAGTTCCTTTCCATTTATGTCCTTCCTGTGTGCAAAATATATTCAGCAGATTCCAACATCCCCAAAAGTTTTAACTCATTCTAGAATCAACACTATGTCCAAACTTGTCATAAATATTATAACATGAAAAATCCTCAAATCTCATCGTCTATATCAGTTATAGCATCTAGATTTCATGCTATAAATCATCACTTATAGCATGTTCATCTTGGGGCAAAATTCCTCAGTATCTGTGGACATGTGAAACCAGAAAACAAGTAATCTGCTTCTAAAATACAATGGTGGAACTGGCGTAGGATAGATATTTCCAATTCCAAAAGAAAAAATGAGAAAGAAAGAAGTGGGCAGGGGACCTAAGCAAGTCCAAAACCCAATAGAGAAAATTTCGTTATATTTTAAGGCCTGAGGATAATCCTCTATGGTTCTGTCTTCTGGGTCTGCTGGGGAGACAGCCCTATCCTTTGACACCCTGGGGTGATGACCCCACTCCCTCAGCCCACTGGGCAGTATTTTAATGCTTTAGGCTATTGTTGTCTCGGCCTGTATTATATAAAAACACAAATACTTCTGACATAAAATGTGTTTTTAATTTTACCTTCTTCTTGGTTTTCTCTCTTGCTTATGTAACTAATATATTAGTTCTACACTTTATGCTAATTTTAATGGTTTTTATATATACATTCTTAATCTATGATTTATTTTTATATGTGGTAGAAAGTAGGTGTTCATGATTATTTTCTTGGAAATGGATAGCTTATTGATCTAATACTGTTTTTTTCCCCCAATTTCATTTTTTCCCTATTGACTGGTAATGTTATCACCCATAAAATAATATGTGTTCACTTATACTTAGATTTATTTCCCGACTTTCTATTCTATTCTTTGTTAAGTTTTCCTTTTAGTGTGTAAATATTATACCATTTTTATCATGGTCTAATAACAAGTTTTAGTATCTAGTGCTGCAGCAAGTTCTCTGATCCTCCTCAATCATTATATATCTATCCAGATGCATTTTACAGTAATTTTATTGTATTACTTTCAAAATGCTGTTGAGATTCTAAATGGAATTGCATCACAAGTACGTGTTAATTTGCAGAAACTTGCAATTTTACGATTTTGTAAATTCTCATTCAAGAACATAATTTTTCAAAGTGATCAGTCTTTTTAAAATGCTTCTTATTACACTCTTACAGTTTTGCTCTTATTCTGATTGGGTTATTTCTTATTTTTTCCATTTCAATATTTAAGTGGTTATTTCTAGCATAAAGACAATCTATTAATTTCGCAGGTTTTTCTTTCATTTGGCTCCCTTTCTAAACTGTTGGACTTCTGCAGTGGTTTTTCAGGTAAGTCTTTGGGGTTTCTAAGTATTCTATCATTTTATCTTAATGATAATTTTATATCTCTCTTTGAGGTTTATAGTGCATCAAAATTTTTGAGAAAAACTAATTTTTCAATATGTGTACAGCAAGAATTTAGAGAAAATACAGTTTATTTTTACGTTTCTATGACAAAGATAATTGACACATTTGGTGGCCTTTTCTATGCCTTACTCACTTCGACACACATCATTCACCATTATTTTTCATTTACATTACATTTTGATCTAATTATTATTAAAATTGGTACTTACATTTGACCAATTGTATGTAGTTGCATTTGATTCAAAAGTTGCAATCTCAATGCTTAATACAAATATACCAAGTGAAGTCACACAAACAGTTATGCTGTTCATTACAATTGCTACAGTAAGCTGTAATAGATATACAGAGAAAAACTGGTTATGGACAGCATAAACAGATGTTGATGAAGCAATCAGTCTGTCCTACTGGCTAGAGCATTCAAGTTAAAGTTTTTAAAAATATGACTTGAATGAGAATTTACAAAATCGTAAAATTGCAAGTTTCTGCAAATTAACACGTACTTGTGATGCAATTCCATTTAGAATGGAATATCTTCACAGAGGTTGATATCAGGACTCTGCCTCAAATTTGTCTAGAAACCAGTAGGATAAAAAAAATTTCCGAGGAAATATTTATTTATTAATTCATTACACAGTGCCTACAATGTGCTAAAGCTCAAGTTTCTACTCAAGAAGCTTATAATCTAATGGGGGAGACATAATTACAGACATAATTTCATTTAATAAGATTTAACAAATGTCATGCTATGAATAAGCTTCAAGTTTAAGATTTGTCAGTGTCATTCCTTTAGCAATGTTACTTTGCTACTGAAAACCTTTCAGTGACTCCCAATTTCCTTCGAGGAAGCATCTACATTCTTCTGAATGGCACTGAGACTCTGGCATGAATTGTAAAAGAAGGCTCTGCTCCTTGGAGTAGTGGCTTCATATATTTTTATGTATGTGTGAGGGATAGTTATATGTTAAAAAGGAGGGGTTTTTTTTTTGGTAATAATGGGAAGAAGGGTGTGATTTGATGCTTGTCAACCAAAGGAAAATACTTAAGTGGATATATAAATTTTTGGTTGTCTAGCGGGCAGTCTTCTTCCTATTTTGAGGGTTCTCCTAATTGGTTTAGTCTTCATGAAAGAAGTTTATCAAATGTCTACTGTGAAAACTAGAGGAGGGAGATCCTTTCTCTCTCCAATCTCTTAGTGTTATGTCCAAAGCATGGCCAGCAATATTCTTTTCTCATGAATTATAATTTTAAGCAAGTGACTTAAAGATGAAAAAATACTAAAATTCATTCTTAGAAAAGGCACCTGTGATGTTATGCAGTGGGGAAATGGTGATCTTGAGTGTTAGAGGGCAGCTATGATGTCTTCTGGTGATAACACCCTGGTCCTTCACCTCCTGCAAAGGACCTGGTGCTATAATCCTGACATCTTCCTAATATATCCTGTCTTTGCTTAATATAGCCATATTCAGTTCACAATAATGGACAAAACTGGGAAAGTATATTATGGAAGAAAGAACAGTATGTACAAAATTTCAGAAGCATGGGAAAGAAGGTCTTCAGGGGAATATCTGGCACTTGGTATGGCTGGAATGTGGAGTGTTAAAAGGGAATTGGATAACATGTGGCTAGACAGGTGAGCAGGTGCTACATGATGAATAATCTAGTATGATGTAATAAGAATTTTCAATTTTAGCTTTGTGGATATGTAGATCTATGCTGCTGGAGTTGTCAACTAGAAAGATTTCCTCTTTAGTACAAAGTCAGGTTGTGGAATGTTTACAATGCCCCTGCACACTTACCCTATGTCCATTAATGAGGATAGAGAGGCTTATCAACCAGGATCACTTATAGAAGATATCTATGTTCCTAAAAATTCTTATAAATTATTTATAGAATTAAGTGTACAACATTATTACTTTTGGAGAGTCCCACTTCCAGCATAAGAATGGGAGGAACTCCGAACCAACTACCCAGCCAAATTTGTGAAAATTATTTCAAAAACCTTAATCATTTAAAACCTCTGTACTCTGTAAGCATTTTTAATGGCATATGGCAAGTAAAAGAACATTTATTCAAGAAAATCTACTCAGTAAAAACTGTAAGAGTTTCTGGTATGGCATCCAAACCAAGACCTGCATCCTCCCTCCCTCCTCTGAGATCAGCAAGACCACTCTAGGTTGGTATAGCCAAAACCACAGGGCTCCCTTTCTTCCCTGTTCCCAGTCAGAGTGCTATATTATCTTCTCAGGAAGCGTAGGACATCAAATTAGCCTCTCCAATTCTGCCCAAATACTTGCGCTGAGGCTAAGTGCCAGGTGAATGCAGCCAAAAGATGAGTGATCTCTTCTACCCAGCTTTTACTCATAGGATGTAGACTTTATTTTAGATGTGGCACCACTGAGAATACTGGGCTCTAATTGCCCTCATTCTAGCTTTTAGGGTAGGGGTTTCACATCATGAGAGGCAAGTTATGGGGAACTGGGGCTTCTGTCCCCTCCCCCATTCACCAAACCCTCCACTCTTAAAAGAGAAGGACTCCATTGTTCCTGTCCACCTCCTCATCTCTGTACCAGATCCTTCGCTCAGAGATTTTGGGAGAGAAATAGAAATTTTTCACTCTGTTCCCAAAGGATATGACTTCATTTATAGCATGTGGAGAAGTTCGGCCTACACGTACTCTCAAAAACAGTGGAAGTTGTGGTAAAAGGCACTTGGTAGGTGTTCATAGATAAATTTTTGAGATACAGGATAAACTGTAGGCCCACTAGTTTGCAAAATACAGTGCCACATGTGTACCTATGCAACTATCTTGCATGTTCTGCACGTGTACCCCAAAACCTAAAATGCAATTAAAAAAAAAGAAATGGGAAAAGGAAAAGCTAGAAAGAGCCCTTTTGGAGTCAGAACAAATCTCAAACATTGATTTTGGGAGCTATCCCCTCAAAGAAGCTCAAATTCATTTGGGTTAGTCTGTGAAGCACTTTTTGCCCCCGAACAACCAGCAAGCAATTAGTAGAGCTTAACAGCTGGGTATGGTTAGGAAAAGAGACAAGGAGAGTCTTTGCAAGATAAATGTCATCCCAGGGCAACTGTGGGCACACACAAGCCTGCACACTGTGAGGGGCAACATCAAAGCTTAACATTGAGGAGGGAGAAATACACTTTACTGAAACAACCAAGGCAGTGGTTTTTCTTTTTTAATCAAGCAATTAACAGTAAGTCCTGGTGTGGGGGATGAGTACCCAGAGTTGCTATATTATCTAAAATGCCCAGTTTCCAACAAAACAATTATATAATAGGGAACAACATAAAACAGGCAAGTTTGACCCATACATGATATAAACTGTAGGCAACAAAAAGTGTCTGTGAGAGAGACCAGATATAATATTAAATAAGCAAATGATTCAGAATAGGCATTATAAAGATGTCTGAGTACTTAAGTAGACCACAATTAAGGAAATAAAGGAAGGTGTGATAATAATATCGCATCAAATAGAGAATATCAGTAAAGATATGTAAATAATTTTTAAAAATACCAAATGAAAATTCTGGAGTTGAAAATTATAGCAGCTAAAATATAAAATTCACTGGAGTGGCACAACAGTAGATTTGAACTGGCAGAAGAAAGAATTAGTAAATTTGAAGATAGATTGATAGAGATTGTGCAAACCGAAAGGGAGAAAAATGAATAGAGACTTAGAGAAATGTGAAATATCATTAAGGACAACAACATATACATAATGAAAGTACCAGAAAGAGGGGAGAAAGAGAAAGCAGAAAATATATTCAAAGAAATAATGCCTGAAAACTTCCCATTCTGCAGGTTGTCTGTTTAGTTTGTTAATAGTTTGTTTTGCTGTGCAGAAGCTCTTTAGTTTATTAGGTCCTACTTGTCAATTTTTATTTTTGTTGCAATTGCTTTTGAGGGTCCGTTTTTTTTTATTCTGCATATGGATGGCCAGTTATCACAGCACCATTACTGAATGGGGGATCTTCACCCCATTACTTATTTTTATTGACTTTGTTGAATATAAATTGGTTGTGTGTATTCAGATGTATTTCTGGATTCTCTATTTGGTTCCACTGGTCTATGTGCCTGTTTTTGCACAGTACCATGCTGCTTTAGTTACTGTACCCTTGCGGAATAGTTAGAAGTCATGTAATGTGAATGCTTCTGACATTATTTGTTTTGCTTAAGATCACTTTGGCTAGCTGGTTCCTTTTTACGGTTCCATATGATTTTTAGAAATACTTTTTCTAATTCTGCTAAAAATGCTGGTTGGTGGTTTCTTAGAAATAGCAATGAATCTTTAGATTGTTTTGGGCAGTATGACCATTTTAATGATTTTAATTCTTCTAATCCATGAGTATAAAATGTTCTTCCATTTGTTTGTATCATATATTATTTCTTTCAGCAATATTTTGGACTAACCAGTTTTCCTTGTAGAGATCTTTCACCTCCTTGGTTAGATGTATTTCTAGGTATTTTATTACTTATTTGGCTATTGTAAATGCAATTGCATGCTTGATTTCACTCTTAGCTTGAATGTTATAGAATATAGAAATGTTACTGATTTTTATATGTTGATTTTATTAAGATTACTTATATGGTCTAAGAGCCTTTGACAGAGATTTTATGATTTTCTAGGTATGGAATCATATTATCAGTTAAGATAGATAATTTGACTTATTCTTTTCCAATTTGCATGCCTTTTATTTCTTTCTCTTACCTGAATGCTCTGGCAAAGACTTCCAGTACCATATTGAATAGGAGTGGTAAGTGGGGCATCTTTCTCCTGTTCCAGTTCTTAAGGGGAAGGCTTCCATCTTTTACCCATTCCACATGATGTTGGTTGTGGGTTTGTCACAGATAGCTCTTATTATTTTGACGTATGCTCCTTTGATGCTTAGTTTGTTGAGAGGTTTTTTTTTTTTTTTGGTCATGAAAGGACATTGGATTTTATTAAAAGCTTTCTCTGCATTTCTTGAGATAATCATATAGTTTTTGTTTTTAATTCTATTTATGTGGTGAATCACATTTATTATTTATTTACTTATTTTTAAAATTTATTTATTTTAATTTAGGTGCACACTATATCTGGCATTTCTCCCCGTGTTATCCCTCCCCACCCTTCCCTCCCTCCCCCACCACTGTCTCTCCCCTACCCCCCCAATTGCCCCCAGTGTGTGATGTTCCTCTCCCTGAGTCCATGTGTTCTTGTTGTTCAATGCTCACCCATGAGTGAGAACATGCGGTGTTTGGCTTTCTGTTCTTGTGTCAGTTTGCTGATAATGATGGTTTCCAGACTCATCGAAGTCCCTACAAAGGACA